GTAAGCCTCATTTTCTCGATTTTGTTACTTCAGTACAATTCCTAGGAACTCTCTCTTATATTCCTTTTTCTTTAAATTTTTAAAAATCTCCTCTAAAATCTATAGTTGTCAAACGACCTTTTCATCTCCTTCAAAATACGTAAACAAACTCATTGTGGGAAAACAAAAGGCTTGGATTTTGGTAAACAAAAGGCTTGGATTTTGGTAAGAGATCTTGGTATTTCTATGTACTTTTCTACATGTGTTTCTAGATAATAATAATATAAGGAATGACGAGATGTATGAATTCTTGGTTGTTGTCTTGCATGAATTGATAATGTATACTAATGATTTAAATCACATGATTTAGAATTCTTACTTTCGTATAGTGTATAAACACGATTTCCCTATTGAGATTGTTTTATATGATATGCCAGGTGTACGGGTCAGACCCTCAACTTTGCTTCAAGAGTGATGGTTGAGAGGGTTACCCGTTTGGGGCCTTAAGCCAGAAGGTAAGCCGATGGTCTAATATGGGTATATAGGCCTTTACCGAGTGAAGATTGAATTGTGGACCCCCATCAGGTCTGGACGGTAAAAACAACTAATGATTTGAACTGAAAAAAAAAGTGGAACTACTGAAAATTTATTTAACTGTTATCACTAAGGGATTACTGAATTGATTGTTGGTGAACCACTTCTTGTGAATGGTACTAATATTTCCTCTTATAAGAGTAAAATCGCGACTTGTAGGTGCCATAGTGGCAAAGTATGATTATGATCATTATTGGCAACTGTTATTGTAGGGGGTCATAATGGCAAAGTACGACCGTAGTCATTAATCTCCAACCATTATACTGTATATTAAAGTGAACTATTTTCCATTTATAGTGATAGTTGGGAATCCCTTTTGTCCTCTGTTGGTATATGTTAAAATGGCTTCGCACGAAGATCTGTAAGATTCGTGAATGAATGAAACTGTTTGATAGTATAACTAGAACAAGTGATTTATTTCTCATGTTTTGATTGTTTCATTGAATAGAATATGATTCTTACTGTTCCGTCATGACATTGTCATGCTTCTTAGTTGGTTCAACTGGTTTCTATTCTACCACTCACTGTTCGGTCATGACATGTCATGTTTAGTTGGTTTAACTAGTTTATATTATCTTGCCCTATTATATCATTGAATTTTTTATGTTGCACTGTTTCGTCTTCACTTTTTATAATTATGACATGAAAACATATGTTTTTGATTTAATTTAAAGAAAAAATAAATGTTATTTCAATATTTCAAATGAATGTGTTCTGCGACAAGTCCAAGAGGTAAGTCACTTGTTTTTAATAAAATAACATGTTTTAAAAATAAATAACCTTTGAAATTTTAGTAGTGTAGTTTGAATATTATTTTTTTACTGAGTTTTACGAAACTCACCCCAATCTATTTCCCTCGGACAATGATGATAGTGAGGAATCACTTCCCGAGCTGCCCCTTGAAGCTTGTTTGGATCCATTCATGGATCCGTATTGGACATTTAAGTCCATTTGGATGATTGTACTCTGATGAATAATTCTTTTAATAATGAAAGAAGTGGCTTAAACCATGTTGTATATATATTTAGTCAGCCATCTTCTTGGCCTCATGTGTACTTAAATATCAAATATTTTATAAGGGAAGATTTTTTTTTCACTGCATAATTTATTTTACACGCATATCTGTTCTATTATCAGACTCCTTTACCCACTACTTTTTGACTCAACAAGACTTCTGGAAGCTCTTAACTTCTGAAGAACTTGAAGATGTTGAAGAAACTAGCAAAACTAATTCTTGAAGAAAGCAAAACTTTAAATTTTTATTCTCTTAAATGTGTGTTTACAACCTATGGGTAAAGATCTTTATATATACTTTTCCCGCGATAGTTCTAAATGGTTACAAACACTTAAAAAATAATAAAATAATAAAATATTAATTTATTCAAATCTAAAGTTCAAATAATTAATTAAATAATAATATGGGATAGATTTTATATTAAACTAATAAAAAAAATAATACTAAAAAAAATAAAAATTATCTCATATGTTGTCCATGAAAAAAACATGGAAAAATTGAAAAAAAAAAGAAAAGAGTCCAAACTAAAGATTCTTCACATAACTACCACATGGCAAGGAGGCAGGTGCGCGAGTCACCCCGACTGAGGCTCATAGGTTGCGGGCGTGGGCTACCCCTCCTGGGTCGCGCGGGTCATATTCATGCACACGCGAGTTGCATGCGAGGCCCTACTGGGGGCGCGGGTTGGCTACCAGCGCAGGCTGGGCCTGCGTGCACGCTGGCGCTAGGTGTGCATGGACATGTACTGGGCCTGTTATGACTGGGCGTGCGATGGTTAGACTATGATGGTGTGCAGGGCACGGGCTGGACACCCCGCCTGCTGGGCATCTTACATGTTGAGTGCACATGTTGCACGTTTACGCAGCATGAGGCCGCACGTTTCTGCGTGCACACATGGGTGAGCTCACTCACACGTGGGATACTTTGCACACGTGCCAAAGGCAAGTCATGTGTGTTTCACATGACGTCCACTAATTTCTGGGGCCGAAATATGTCATTTGGGCCTTCTTTTAGGCTTCATTGGTGATTTCTTCACTTACTCATTCCTGCGCCAAAAAGTTAAAGTTGTTTTGGAATTTCCTGGCTTCATGTAATTGGTCCTAGGGGCAATTGCATTTTTTTTCCATGAACCTTAGCTCGTCGCGGAGACCATCATCTTTCCCTTTGTGAAACGATGTGTCTGCTTCATCTGCTTGAGTATTTTGTATGCTTGGACTTCTGTCACTTGAATTAATTCTCGAAATTTGTGATTACAACTTGAACTTGAGTCTTTATATAAACTTTTATTTTCTATTTTTATTTGGAATATGATTTAGCATTCTTATACAAATTCTAGTGCTTAATTTAATTAGAAAAAAAATACATAAGTAATTAAATAAATGAATCTTATCCCAAATTTAAATTCTTAAAATAATATAATAAATTAATAAAATATTCTAAGATAATCTTTCCTCCTATTGAAATATTCAAGAATCTTGATTTTCCTTGGACTTCAATCTTGAGTAGAAATTCTCTTCCAATTTAGCATATTAGTCACATGGGATAGTTATTGAAGCATGAGAATCCTTGTAGCACTTGGAAAAATGAGAAAACAATTCCAAAAAGACTTAGGAAAAACAAACCATGTGGGTGGCTTGTTGGGCACGTGGGTTGGTGTGCTGATCGCGGGGGTGGATCTTGCGCGCACAGGGCACCAGGCATACGCATGGCCTATTGTGCACGTGTGCATTGCTGCTCACACATGACGCACTTTTTGTGCGCATGCCTGCACATTCTGTTTGGTCGCACGCCACACAAGCTGTTTCACGCGGGCTCTCCTACACGTGTGAAGGTCTGTGCACGTGTCGAAGACATGTCATGTGCGTGGCATGTGCCATCCATTAATCTTTTATGCCGGATTGCTTCTTTTGAGCTTTCTCTTAAGCTTCAATGATGATCTCATTATTCACCCACTTTTGGACTAAAAGATTGAAAATTTCCAGAATTTTTTGGGCCGGCTTCTAGTAATCGGTCCTTGGGGTAATTGGATCTAATTTCCTATTAGCCTTAACTCATCATGGACACTTGTATCCTTCCCTTTTGTGAGATGACTTATCTTCTGCATATGCTTGAGTGTTTGATATGTCTATTATCACGTCAATATATTAGCTAACAAGTCTCAAAATTTCAGCTCAAAATTCCACCAATTGGAGGTGCATGAAGCACTCCATTTTGTGAGATGACTTATCTTCTACATATGCTTGAGTGTTTGATATGTCTATTATCACGTCAATATATTAGCTAACAAGTCTCAAAATTTCAGCTTAAAATTCCACCAATTGGAGGTGCATGAAGCATTCCATGCATAAAATGTCACTTTCCTTCACTCAAAGGATTTTTCTCCCTCACGTGGTTTTTTTCCCGATTCTCAATCCAGGCTCTTTCTCATATTCCCAAAGTACTTTCCAATCTCCTATGAAGTCGTTTTAACCTCGAGAAGTGTTTTCAACTCTAGAAAATTCAGTTTTGTACTTTGAGGAAAAATTCTCTCTCTAAGGAGTTTCTTTTTCATACTTCTGCTATTTTTGCTCCATTTGAATTGAAATTTAGTTTTTTAACCTCATAGATAATTTAATTTTAAAGGACGAAAGCAAACTCATGAAAATGGATTTTCATAGTTTGATTTAAATATAATGATACTTGTAAGAATGATTTGAGAAGATAAAATGAGAAATTTGAGAATATAATAAGAAATTTGAGAATGGAAGGGATGTTTGTGATCTATGGATGAATGTTCAACATTAAGTAATTTGCTGATTATTTTATTTGAGATTTGCTAATTTATTTGTTTAATTTTTTAAAATGTTTATATTTATTTATTTTATTAATTATATGATATAAAATAATTTTCATTGTGTATTTATGATTATTATTAATTTTTATTAAATATTTTAAGAAAAAAGTAAAAATAATAAACCCAGTCTATTCGATCTAGACTAGGAATGAATTGAAAAAAGATAGTTTAGACCAAACTGGATCAAACCTTATACGATTTGGTCTTTAATATGAACCTTTGCCTTCTTTAATTGTGATATAATCTGGTCCGATTTAATTTTGAATTGATGCACACTATTAGTTCTGAAAAGTACTATCATTTAAAATAAAAATAAAAATAATATTTAGTGAAAATAATTTTTGAAACTTAAAGTATAAATTTTTATCAAAATATAAAATTAGTTTTTAAAACTCGTAAATTATAATTTTTGTATCTAAATATATGGAAAGCAAAATTTGACTATGCGTACTTCTATTTTATCAACTTGCTATAAGAAAAGTGAAAAAACCGAGGGAAATGATGCCTTGGTGTATCCATACGCTGAAGAAATAAATATCTACAAGGAAACGGCGCAGGCCCAACGAAAGCCTGTCCATCTTTTACCGTCGTGCTGACACTCGTCTGCTTGTGGTACTCTATATTTATCCCATTATTTGACTCTGCTCTATGCTTAACATACAAAATGCCGTGATATTTCACACAAGGGTTGAATAAACAAGTTGGCAATCAATGGCCTCGTGGGCTACGACAGTTTTCACTGCAAATTATTTTCTTCCTCGGTTATCGACTGTTGTTACTGCTTCTGCTTCACCCTCGAGTTTCGAAAATGGTGCATTCAAAGTTTTGGGTCGATTAAGAAGCGGGGTATTCGGCCTGTTGGCCACTCAGAGGGAGTCAGTAGTGAGGACTTGTGTGTTTGGGTCAAAAGATCGAAAGCCTCGGTTGCTAATCCATCAGGAATTTCGGGAGGAGCCTGATGATGGAAGTGGCAGCGACTACGAAGAAGAAGGAGAGGAAATGGGGAAAAATGATTTGGATTTCGAAAGTGATTGGGAAGACGAAAGAGGAAACGCCATGGCTATGGTAATCTCCGTTGAAGAGCCCACGACGAATCCGTACGAAGAGGACTTGCCA